TTTTTCCAAAAGCGGTTGCCTCTTGGAAGGTAAAGCCCGAGTGTACCTCTGCCACTGTAGCTCCCGCCCGTTTGTGTGACAGCAACAAGGCGCATGCCACAAATCGGGGAGAAGCTCGGCAAAACACTAACCTATTGTGTTAGCGCCAATCACCACAGCGGACGTATACATACATATGTAGCAAAAATGGTCACTGGTGACATCGTCACTAATGAGGATTTAGTGACATCGTCCCATTTGCTGTGAATCCTAAGCGACATATAGCTGACAATGACACTGGTGACAATGTCATGCAGGTGTACTCCTATCAAACAGACAATGTCTTGCAGCGGTCACTTATAAAAAGTCTTTGGCAGGGCATTGTCGCTTGATCAAAATCATGCAGAGGCCATCAAAGACCAAATTATCATTTGTATGAAAAAGTCATGAACGACTTCCATATAAACGAAGCCCAAAGTCATTGAAGACTTAACATGGCCAGACACAAAACCTAAGTGACTATTGCATGACATTCGCTATGGGGTAATTAGCGCAGTGTCCCCAGCTAAGTACGTCGCGCACATTCTCCTGTCACTTTTGGTTTTGGCAATTCATCATTTAAGTCTCCCCACCACTTCCCTATTTTACATTTTATTTATATTTTTATTTCATACACTCTTTATACTTGCATACATATGTATGTATGTATGTACAATGACGTGCGAATTAAACCAACAAAATTTAAGTGCCATCATAACGGTAATTGCGACATTGCATTTTCTTTTGTAAATCGCAAATCCCCAGCCGGGCGGAGTTGGATTGCTTGGCTTGCGCTTTTTCGAGCTCCGCCATTGCCTTTTTGGCAAGTTTTTAATTGTATATAATTTTTTTTTTGTGAAAATTGGCATAATCACTGTGGCAATGTAGATATAATTATGTATTAATTTTGTAATATTTTTTTATGAAAAGTAAAAGTGTAGCAGTGCAATCAAAACAATTCGAGCGCCACTTCAGACACGCTCTACTCCTACAGGCCGATATTCAAAAGACATCGCGTGGCAGCTGAAGAAGATGACAAGTATTTTTTTAAAACGCAGACTATGTAGGCGTTTACATTAGACAATGACTAAAGCGCGTAACACTTACGCGTCAGTGGCAACTTAGCTGGCTCTAAAAATGTTAGATCAGTTGCTTTCAGCACTTTATATAGTTGTAAGAAAATGAAATGTACAAATTAATATATAATTTAAATTTATTTTAAACACTTTTCACTTCATAAAAGTACTAATTGTTTTAAAGTAGAACATAACGGATGTATTTACATATAACAAAATGATTTGTGCTTTGTTGAACATAATTTAAGATGAGCGTATTGAACGCTTAAGGTGATGTGTGCGGTGAGCAGCTAAACGACGTAAAATGCGTATGCGCGATCGCATCCTCCCTCCGCAGTTTCCCCCAGCATTAGTGGACTAGAATAAATATGCTTAACCTTAGACGTATCTACAACAGCAGTAGAAAACATATTTATGCGCTTGCTTAAACAACTAAACTTTGGGCGGCTGTTTTGTGTGTGAACGCGTTGCCTACACGCGGCGCTCATTTGCGTTTATACCAGCCACTGCTGCCGCCACCACCGCCGCCTGACGCCGCCCAACCACCACTTCCACCCGATTGCCAGCCGTCACCCCCGGAAGCGGGTGCATAGTTATAACCTCCCCCTCCGCCGCTTGAGCCTCCGTACGCACCGGCTGCTGAGGCGATAACAGCTGTGTCGATATGACCGCCGCCGCTATAACCTCCACCACCGCTGTAGCCACCACTGCTATAGCCTCCGCCGCTATACCCACCATAGCCGCTGGAGCTGCTGCTTGTTGACGCGGCTATCGCTGCAATCTTGGCATCGTCGTGTCCACCGCTACTATAACCTCCCCCGCTGCTATAGCCTCCACCGCTGCTATAACTGCCACCACCATAACCACCGCCATAACCACCGCCGTCGCTGCCGTGTGAGTCGCTTGAAGCGGCTACCGCAGCTATATTGGCAATGGAATGCGCATCACCACCGCTACTGTAACCGCCACCGCCGCTGCTGCCATGCGCGGATGCACCTGCGGCGGCTGCTACTGCAGCTAAATGACTGTCATCATGACCACCGCCGCCGCCACCACCATAACCGCCGCCTCCACTGCCGTGAGAGCCACCAGACGTTGCCGCTACTGCTGCCAATTTAGCCAGATGTGCATCACCACCACCGCCTCCACTGCTGTGACCGCCACCATAACTGTAGCCACCGCCGCCATGACCGCCCGCACTATACCCACCGCCAGATTCTTTGATAATGGCATAAGTATCTACGTGAGCATCTCCCCCGCCATGACCACCATGTCCGCCGGAACTGTATCCACCACCATAGCTGCCACCACCGCCGTGTCCACCATGACCGCCTGCGTCTGAGATGATTAGTGTATGGGCTTCACCACCACCACCATGGCCGCCACTATAACCGCCGCCATGACCACCACCATAACCGCCACCGCCGCCGCCGCTGC